CTTTCCCTTCTCTTGTGGCTGCATTTAAGGGCAACTGTGTTTTGTCAGTTCATACCATTCAAGGGACTGTTTTACATAAATGCAATGGCAGGAACAGATCCAAAGTCTAGCAAACGCGCTCCATACAGCCCACGCTTTAGCGCATACTTTTTTGGCTTAACGGCACAGACAACGTTTAGTCAACATTAATGATCAGAATGCTTTAAAGCTCCCCTGTCCTCCCTAAATGTGCTCAATCCTTTGCAGTACCATGAATTTAGAAGGCTGTAACTTTAATCCTACCCTAGAGAACATACTATACATTTTTCCTCCTTTCCTCTGGCCATCGAACTTAATGGTAATGATTCATGGACGTAGAGCCACTGACAGTTTCACAAAACTAGCATCCATGGTGTAAATTATCTTTTTGTAGGACCACAGTGATATTAAGACAGCAATTTCCTGAGCCTGCCTAGGAAATCATTCTCATTCTCAAAGTTTAGGTTTTCTTTTTTTTTTTTCCCTCGTCCTTTCTGAACTTTGAATAACCTTTTAGTAGTGCCTACACATCTTTTCATCCATATGAGATACTGTCGCATCCTCTCAGATACACAGTTATTTAGGCTCATTACAGTGTTTCCAGGGTGGTTGCATTGTCTTCATTGGATCTCAATGTTTTGTTTCAAGATTCCAAGCTATGCACTAACGATAGGATCTAGTTGGAGATATCCCTGTTCCTTGCAGGGGGGTTGGACGAGATGACCTTTGAAAGTCCCTTCCAGCCCTAATCATTCTATGATTCTATGATTCTATGATAGTGACAGTATTCTCAAGGGCTGTCGAAGAAGTCATCTACAGCTACTTACAATCCATTGTCACAGTAGCAAATCTTAAACTTAGCAACTCCAGAAAAAATAAACTCTTTTCATATGGTCTTGATTTCACTTTAAATTGTATTGGTATTAATCAGGAAATTGACTGGATTGACTGGAATTATGGTATGTGAAATCATATTAAAATAAAACCCATTATAGCAGTTCATACGACTAACGTCTTTCTGGGTTAAATGTATAAATTGAAGTGGGAGGAACATAAAAGTAAGAATGACAGACCAATATGGGATTCCTATTCTCTTCAGTAAAATCTAGTAAAACTAGATTTGAATTTCCATAAAACTCCATTACAAAAAATGCCTTTGGATATACAACACTAAAAATGCCATTGTGAATATGCTGATAAAACAGGTATGGTATTAGCGAAGCTACTCAAGACAAAAGATGTCAGAAAGATAATTCCTTTCCTGCGGGATGAAAATAATGAGCTCATAAATACATCTTAGAGGTAGCCAGTGCTTTAAAAGCGAGGAGCATAAATTGTACTCC